TGTTTTTTGTGTTGATGCTCAGAATTCTTTGCTGAAATAATCCTGATATAAGGTTGTATTTTATACTTCTTGTTAATAAGTTTAAGATACGTCTTGCATAGCATTTTTGGGCTAAATTATTTTGCAAGGCAGACTATCATATCATTATATATTTTTGAAGCAAGTTGGCATGCTGACAAATTACTGAAGTGTTGATTTTACTATTAAAAAGAAGAAGAAAACGGGGGGGGGAAGGGTCTTGGGTAAATTGCAAAACTGGTGTGCGACCCTTCCTGAGTGAAGGGAAGCTTAGAAATGGCTAAGCTGGAAAACAGACGTTTCCTGTTGCAGGCCCAGGACCTTCCGGTGATAATGTGGTTATTATATCAAGGAAAGTGGGAAGGAAGGCTGGAGGAGGGCGGAGAGAGAGTCCCAGCCACATCCTTTTGGCTGGAGGAATTGAGTGAAGCATTCTGGGAACTGGCGGGGCTTTTTTTTTTTAGGGTGGGGGGGGAGAGAGTGTGGATGAATCCAGGGCTGGGGTCCCCAAACGTTGCCACTTTAAGACTGGTGGACTTCAACTCCCAGAATTAGCTGACTGGAGAACTCTGGGAGTTGAAGTCCTCGAGTCTTAAAGTGGCCAAGTTTGGGGGTCCCTGGTCCAGGGAAATGCCCCAAATTTAGGTTCTTCCAGCATCCCCCGGGGAATGGGGTCACATGATCAAAAAATCAGGTTGCCTAGCGACTGGGTTGCAGCATCCTGGCTCCTGGGTTGCCATTGGCGACCTGCACAGCCAGCTTGAGACTCGGTGGGGGGGGAGGGGGGAAGGAGAGGGGTTGGATTCGCTTAGCAGCTGTATGATTCACTTAAAGACCCCAGCGATTTGCTTCTGTGGTGTGGCGAAAATGGGGTAGAGATTCGTGCGGTCGTTAAAACAAATCCGATTTCCTCCAGGGATTGTCGGAAGCCTGGCTTAGGAAGGTGCACAAATTACAGGGCCCGGATTTTGATCAGGTGACTGATGCTGCAGTGGCTGTAAGTGCGAGGACCGGTCATAAGTCGTGTTTCTCGGTGCCCTCGCGTCTTTGAATGGTCTCGAAATGAAGGGCTTGTATTTTTCTGAGCCCTCCTATCCTTGTTGTGGTTTGCCGGCCGCTGAGGCAGACAGCAGCGGAATAGGACAGTGGAGAAGAACGGGGACCGGTCCGGGAGTCTGGAGAGGACTCGGATGAGGGTCCTGCATCCGATACAGAGGTGGGGCCAGGACCATCTGGGAGTGGGGTGCTGCCTCTGGAGCCTCCAGAGTCTGGCAGCAGAAAGGCAGAGGAACAAGGGGAGCCTGTTCCCAATGCGCGTATGCGCAGAGTTGCCAGAAGGCGAGACCAGCTGAGACAAAAGGGGCAACTCAGGAGTAAGGCTGGGAGGTGATTGGCCAAGTCAGGCCAAGATGATGAAAACTTTGCAGGAAGCAAAGTAGTTCGATCGGTTCTGAGTCCTCCTTGAAGCTCTGTGTACTCTGGTCGTTTTTTTCTGCTACTTTTTCTGTTTTAGTTAATTGGATACTTCTGTTTTTGGCAGCATTCCACAGAACTGAAAGGTGTGTGCTTATCTCGGGGAACTATTTAAGATTAGTTTCTGGCTGGAAATGAAAGCATTTCCCAGTGTTGCAATAAAATAGGTTCTGCTTTTAAAACAAGTTTGTGTTTAATTACCTTTGATGAAGTCTGGGTCAGAACAAGGCCTTTATCTGGGTCTCCGTTTCAAAAGGCGCCAATTTGTCTCGCAAAGCTTACTTTTCATTTAGCAATAGCACTTAGACTTATATACCGCTTTATAGTGCTTCCCAGTCCTCTCTAAGAGGTTTACAGAGTCAGCCTCTTGCCCCCAACAGTCTGGGTCCTCATTTTATCCACCTCGGAAGGATGGAAGACTGAGTCAACCTTGATCCTGGTGGTATTTGATTTGCCAAATTGCAGTGGGAGTAGCTTGCAGTAGTGCACTCTAACCACTGCGCCACCGAGGCTCAATTTAGTTGCAGAACGAATCCTACAGATGGAACCAATGTGCACAATGGCACCCACAATTAGCCCTTGACTTATGACCAGAAGGGAGCCCCAGATTTCCGTTGCTTTAGCAAGACACTTGCTAAATGAGCTTTGGCCCGTTTTACGACCTTTCCATCCACCACGGTTAAGCAAATTACTGCAGTTGTTAAGTTAGTAATTCAGTTGTTAAGTGAATTTGGCTTCCCCTCCCCCATTGATTTTGCTTGTTAGAAGGTCCCAAAAGGGACACTGCAACCGTCGTAAATATGAATCAGTTGCCAAGAGTCCAAATTTTGATCACGAGAAAAATGGGCAACGGTCATAAGTGTGAAAAAAGATGATTCGCTTCTTCTCCCGTAACTTTGCAACTCCAAACGGTCACTAAACAAACTGATGCAACTTAAGGATGACCTCTCCCACTAAGCCAAGACAAGTTAAGTGAGTTTTGCTCCATTTGGCGACCGTGTTTGACCTGGTTGTTCAGCAAATCCTTGCTCTTGTTGAGCTCGTTCCATGGTCGTTAAGTGAATCTCGGTCCCCATTGCTCATTGGAAGGTCTCAAAAGGGGAAATGCATGCCCCCCCCAGGGACACCACATCCCTCATAAATACGAGTCAGTTGCCACCCAGCGGCCAAATTTGGATCACATGACTCCAGAAAAATGCCGCAACGATTGTAAGGGGGAAACACAGTCCTAACTCGCTTTTTTTCAGTGCCATTGCAACTTTGGTCACTAAACGGACAGCTATAAGTCAAGTACTTTCTGTATGTACTTTTATTTTTATTTTTTTAATTTAAGATAAACTTTATTAAAGATTATATATTTATATATAATCATTATAGTTTGTAGTTTATATATTATAATTTATAGTTTATATATCATTGTAGTTGTGCTTTTAAAGTTGTAGTGACGTTTCGGCAGAATCTCATCTGCCATCATCAGGCTTGTGTATTGTGTTCGTCTGTGAGTCAGACTTTCACAGCCGTTTCTGTTTTAAATTTGGGGCTAGCCTACTGCTGTGCTAGAATGTTTTTTTTTCTTCATCCTGATTGGTTGGGTGTCTTGGTCTGTGGTTATTGATCTTGGAGTTGGCTGTGTTTCTGCTTGATTGGTGTTTCTAATATCTTCTGTCTATTTTGTGGCTTTTTTATCTTGATTGGCTGGCAACATTGTGTTCCTGTATTGGAGGCTTTTAGTGCAGTTTGGCTCCGAGTAAATGGACGGCTATCATTTGTTAGGAAGCTAGGTTTCATCTGGATGGCTGGCTGGGCTTTGGCTGGAGGTATCAGAGGTAAATAAATATATATACACAATGCTTAATATACAACGTTTCATTGCAAATGGAATCAATATGAAAAACATAGCAAATAAACATAAAACATATATATTTCTAATCAACTTAGATGTTGTGTTCTTTTCTCGAAAACAATTTTACTAATATTCATTTCCTATTTTTGGTAAATAACTCTTAATCTAACCACTTTATTTTTCAATTCTTTATCTTTTTATTCCCTGGTTTTTATCCTTGATCCAATTGTTCCATTTTTCCCAAACTGTACTATATTTTGAGTCTACCTCATCCTTTCAGTTTTGGGGTAAGTACATCCATTTCAGCGCAATCAAGAACCTTCTGAATTATCAAATTATTTGTTGACATTTGGGTTACCCTTCTAGCATTGTACCAATGCAATTCTTGCTCCGGTAATTATATGGAGAATTAAATATTTCATTTCTTTTGTGTAATCACCTTTTATCATTCCCAATAAAAATACTTTGGCCTTGAATTCTAGTTGAATATTCGTAATTCCTTTTATCCACATTCTAATTTTTTCCCCAATATTTTTTACTTTTTGGGCAAAGCCACCAAGCGTGGCCTGTAGGTACTTTTAAAGAATCTGCCCGGGCTGCCCCATCCAGAATTGGCTTCCATTTGCAATTTAATTCACTTTTGGCACCCAACGTTAGGCAAGTTGCGATGCCATCCGGGGTCGTTTGCACCCCTTTGCAATGAAGGTGGCATGCAGCCCCAGCAGTGTGTGGAAATGATTGTGAGTCTCTGTGTGTGTCGTGTTGTGTTCTCAGCCTGAGCCTCTCTCTCTCTCTCTCTCTCTCTGAATATTCTTTGCCGGAAAATCCATTTAAACAGGTTTTTCCCACCCACCTCTTGTATTTTGCAACCAGCCAAAGGGAGGCCTGCCTGGACAGATCCCTTTTTGATCCCTGCAGGATCAAGGCGGACACCTGGAGGCTTTGTTCCTTCCCCCCCCCCCAAAAAAAAACCCCTACACTTCCTTCTTCCCCTTTGGTTGGCCTTTCTGTTTTGGGACAAAAATGGTGGCGGGGGGAGGCTCTGGGACACCCCGGGACTCAAAGGGGCTGTCCCTCTTTATTAAAATAATAAACTAAAAGTTTTTTTGGGGGGTTGTGGGGGGTGACAGTTGAATTAAACCTGTTTTAACTTTTGGTAAGAGTTTGCAGACTTTGGTAGAAAGCCTTCCTCAATTGCAGCGACGTTAAGATGAATGGACTTCAACTCCCAGAATTCCTCAGCCGGCCAGCCATGTTGGTTGGGGAATTCTGGGAGTTGAGGCCCACCCAATTTATGGATTCTAAGTTTGAAAAATACTGACCAATCTCCAGGGACAGGATACATGTCATAGCTGGGATTTCCCCAGCTGGCTTGCTTTAAAAGGGGTGGACTTTCAATTCCCAGAATTCCCCAGCCAGCCCTATTTTACCCATTTTACAGCGGCCAAGGTTAGAAAACCCTGGTCTGTCTAGGCCCGAAAAAAAGGAGATTTTTCTCCTTTCGAGTTGAAGCTTGCCGAGTAGGGAATTCTGGGAGCTGAAGTCCACCCATCTTAAAGGAAGCCGGCTGGGGAATTGTGGGAGTTGAAATTTGTCTCAACCTGCAAAAAACAAACAAACAAACCCACAACTCTTTTAAATCTTGGAAAGTTGCAACGGTGGGGGGGTAAATGTTCTCATTTGGGGTCCAAGAAAAATGGGAGGTTGCTTTGCTATGATGAGTAACCATGGGGCGAAGTTTGGTTTGGCTGAAGATTGTCTTCCTGGGAAATATCTCCCGCAGGTGACAATGAAAAGGGAAAACAGCATCATGTGGACGATGGACCTGACCTTGGTCAACGGGGACTGCAGCGACCCGGAGCCTCCCTCCGAGGGGAGCAAAGTGACAGGTACCTTTGTGCCCAAGAGGTCATCAAGTTTTGGGGCAGCCGGCAGCCCCCCCCCCACTCTCTGACCCCGGGGGCAAAGGGCAGGTTTTGGGGGGGGGGGGGGTGGCCTTGGGGGGGGGGGGGGATAAGAAGGGGTGTGAAGGTAAGGGAGGAGAAGGGAGGGAGAGAAGAAGGAGACAGGAGGAGGAAGGAAAAAAGGAAGGAAGGAGGGAAGAACCCAGAGTTCCTTTTCCAAGAGGCAACTGGACTTTCTTTCTTCCAAAAACTCCAGTTGCCGCTTGAAAAAGCAGGTTTGGAACAACCTGGATGACTGAGAATCTCCACAGAGGGAGAGAGAAAGGAAGGAGAAGAGAAGGGAAGGAAGGAAGGAGGATAAAGAGGAAGGAAGGAGGAAGAAAGGGAGGGAGAAAGGGAAGAGGAAGAAAAGATGATGGAAGGAGGCAGAAAGGAACGAGAATGGATAAAAAGGAAGGAAGGAAGAGAAGGAGAGATGAAGGAAGGAGGGGAGAGTAAGGAGGGAGGGAAGGAAGGAGAAGATAGGGAGGATAAAGAGGAAGGAAGGAGGGGAGAGGGAGGGAGGAGAAAGAGAGGAAGGAAGGAGAAGGGAGGGAACGAGGAGAAAGGAGGGAGGGAGGAAGAAAAGAGGAGGGATGGAAGTAGGAGGCAGGGTGGAAGGAGAATGGAGGGAGGATAAAGAAAGGAAGGAGGGGAGGGAAA